ATGCAAGCTTACTGTATATCTGCCATGGAATAAAAAAAAAATCTAACAAAAAAAGTTAATTGCGAATAAACTCAGAATTGTGAGACTTGCAGTTCTGAGAAGAAAAGTCAGAATTTTGATATATAAACTCACAATCACAAGAAAAGAAAAAAAAAAACTTAAAACTGTGAGATAAAAAGATCGCAATTACCTTTTTTATTCCTTGGTGGAAATAGGCTTTTCTCACTTTTTTCCTCAGAATTCGATATTAATATCTCGCAATACTAAGTTAACATCTCGCAATTTTGAATAATTTTTTTTTAATAAAATAAAAAATAGCTTCCATAGCTAACTGCTCCATAGCTAACAGATAATATAGCTTCCATAGTTAACAGTTAACTTGCAGAGAGGGGGGGTTGTTTGATTGTACACGCAGGAAAAAAAAGGTACAAAAGTTGTCAGTGGGGCGGAACCCTTTCAGAAGGGTTAATATGTACCATATAGGTACTAATATGGTACTAATAAATAAGCTACAAATCTATACCTTTTGAAATGTTACCACCTCAGTTTTGTACAGCTTTTTTCAATGAGTGTATGATGTTTTAGGTGTTCATGTTCAGCCAGTTGTATCGCAGCAGAGTGCTTGTCTCTACCTTACAACTTGGTAGGAATAGTTTCTCATTTCAGCTTCATTTTTTTATTAGTTCTTTTAAGCAGTCCTGAATCTTTTGCCTGAGGCTGACAGATAGCTTTTTGTGTGAGTCTGAGGCTCCGTCCTCAGGCGATGGACTTGTAACAGTAGTACGTGAGCAGAGCTGTCTGTCATGCTGTCAGGACTGTGTTTGTTCTGTGTGGCCAGTCTTGTGTGGGGGACCCTCGAGCCTGGAAAAAGGATGTGCCTGGCATCAGCGGTAAAGTTTATATGTGAAATAAAATAAAAGTGCAAAGGCCACAGTTATAAATATAACCCCACTCACTAGTGGTTAGGAGGTGTTAATCATTGGAACAAATTTGGAGAAATTTAGCGTTACATCGCTTGCTCACCAATGGATCCTCTGCAGTGAATGGCTGCCGTCAGACTGAGAGTTCCACAATACAACTCTAATGAATCAATTAATGTAAATGTGAATTGAGTAGCTGTGTGATTTATAAGAAACAAATCCATCATTAAGGCTTTTTAACTTAAATCCATTGCTTCTGGTCAAAATACGAGTCCATAATCCATAATAAGACATCCTCCAGTGGAAAAAGTCCATCTTCTGTTGTCCTCTCACATCAAAATCCACTGACATATTTGTCTTGAACTTTTTTTTGACTGTTTTTGCTTGTAAACCGTGCTTGGTCTTTGCATATTTCTCTCCTGATTCAGATTAGACAACAGTTTCACTGGAGAAAGCAGTATTACAGATAGAGGACTCATAATATAGCCGGAAAGCAACGGTTTGAAGTTAAAAGCATTTTACTGATGAATTTGCTTTAACATGCAGCTTTTTGCTTCAGGAGATGTTGATTGATGGACTGGATTTGTGTGGATTACTTGTGGATCATTGTGATGTTTTTATCAGCTGTTTGGACATTCTGACGGCACCCATTCACTGCAGAGGATTCGTTGGTGAGCAAGTGATGTAATGCTAAATTCCACCAAATTTTCTCAGCAAATTTTCATCTTTGGGTGAACTATTCCTTTTAATAAAAGTCACAAAATCCCCAAAATAAAATGTAGTAGTTTAAATGTTAGGGAAACTTTTGTGATTGAGGGTGGATGTGGTAAAGTAGGGGGCCTCTTTGCATATTTGGGTTGAATGTCTGCAGTCAATCCCAGTGCCCAATCTTTAGGGTGGAGTGATAGTGTAGGAGTGGAGATTAGAGACCGGACAAGACATAAGACAAACCCTTCCACCAGACAGGATACGAGATGTGGAGTGAAGCGATATGGAGTGGAAAGAAAAGACACGGTGGATGTCTTCAATCGCACAGACTGCTATCAATGTGTGTGAGAGAAATCCAAACCACTGCATACTCTGATAAATGATTTGTTGATGCTACTATTGATCTGATGTTTGTGTCTGATCAGGGTCTGCTCACATTTATAGGCCCATAGGAGGTGTTCAGACTTACTTTGGCTGGTCTTAGGTTTCAGTTAATTGCCATTTTAATATAATATTGTCATATCAGGCATGTACAAAACCTGATGATAACTTCATTATCGTGCAGCGGTTCTTGTAAGAGCCTTTAGATTGGTTACTACACCATGGAGGCCTGTTTGCAATCTGTTCTCATGGCCCTGCCTTTTTTTTTGTTGCCCCGTCTTTGTGCCTGCTGTCCCATCATGCCTCTGACACCTATCTCAGTCCCTGCTTGTCAGCCTTTTAGGATTTCTTTAGCACAACTGACACTTTTATGTTAATATGTAAAGAATTAACTGATTAAACTGAAGCTTTAAGATGTGTTACTGTAGATCCCTGCTTAGTCCCCACAGAGATTTTATTCACCTTCATTTTGAGTTAAAGGCTGGCTGATACTTCATATTGATTTCTGTGTGCCTTGTCTTGCTCTTTAGAAGTGATTTCACAAGTACTGCTTAAATCTGTTTTTTTGTGAAAGATGTTTCATAGTCCTTCAAGAGGTCAAGATTTATACAGGTCAGTTTGGGAAATTGCCCTTAATAACAGCATTATTAAAAACTTCACTTACAGCAGTTATATAAATTTAATTGTTTTAATTTTACTTCTTAAAATCAAAATTTTCAAATGTACAATTCTGCATTCTGTTTGCTACCTCCGTTTTCAGTTCAAAGCCTGCGGTTGTGAACAGATCAGGGGACATGGTACAGTGTTTAGTTTTATTTATTTATTTATTAATTCATTTATATATACATTTTATGTATTTGCATTATATACATTTTATTCCTTTATGTATAAATATTTTTTTATTTTAAATGTACATGTAAAAAATTTACAATTATGAAAATCAGTACTCTATCCATATATAAACACATTTTATTCCTTGTATGCATTTTAATTGTTTTAATTATTTATAAATATTATTTATTCATTCATTTATACATTATATAAAAATTATATTGATTAATTTCAAATTTAAATGTAAAAATACTGACTTTTATAATTGTCACATTTTAAATTACAGTATTCATATGTAAATACATTTGATTTGTTTTATACATTTTTAATTATTTTATTTAAATGTTTATTCATTTAAATGTAAAAATAATGTAGAAATGTGACAATTATGATAGACGTAAGTGCTGTATCCATATATGAATCAATTTTATTTCATACATTTTAATTATAAATTTAAATGAATAAATATTTATAAATAATTAAGTAAACAACTGAATAACATCACAATAATAAAAGAAGTCCTGTGTCTCTATATAACTACACTATACCTGTGTTATTTGTCTCTGCCTCTCTCCCTTCTGTCTCTTTCTCTCACTTTTTCTTTTCCAAACGCGCACACACGACAGAGATAACAGCAGCCAGAGGAGACTAATGAATAATGTAGAGTCCTGTCTCTGTGGTGCCATTACAAACTGTTGAGAATATAAAGTCAATATTTACAGAGTAACACAGCCATCAGTGTCTCTTTCTGTATATGTGTATATAATTCAAAGTCTCTTACTGATGACCAAAACTCACTTTTTTTTATTAGACTATTACTTTTTGTGCGTGAGGTATAAGGTGTGTCTGAAGTGCCTGTTTTGCGACACAGAGACAGGTGTGCTTTCTTGAGTTACAGTATTTGTGTCCTAGCATCAAGCCAAAAAAACATGATGTCCTCTTCTTGTATGTGAATTGGTTAATCATGCTAAAAAGGAAGTGACAACATCTTCTGTCTCACGCCATAAGTTCATGGAGGAGCACATGTTGCTGTCTTCATGTGGAAATCAGACTAAAACATGCACAACAATATGAATACTACCATCATTGTCATCGTACCTGCTTAAATTGAACCACTCTCTGTCTTGTTACACCTGTGTCCATATTTTTGGCAGTAACATTTTCCTGCAGTGTAAGAGAAAAGGGTGCTTGTAACCATGGTGATGCCTGCAGACATATTTATGACTATTCTTAAATTGATGCCCTCTGGCCTTCCTGAATACCTTCTTTTACCTTCTCCTTGTTGCAGCATAGCTCTTCTAATTGCTTTTTTGGTCCTCTCTGAGATAGCCGGATAGCATGAATCCCACTCCTTTGGAACTTGTTGTTCAATGTGGTTGGAGAGCGTGGCCTGTATTTACCCCGTGGTCTCTAGAGAGCTGCTCCAGGTGGAAGTAATAGCCATATGTCTTTAGAGCTCTAAAAAGCATTCAAACCCCCAGAGATTCAGTGTCCTGAGTAGATCCTAACAGCTGATGTAGTGTTTTGAAAAAATCCCTGGAGAAGTCACACCAGGTTTTAGGGAATTATTAATATGATCATTTATTATTTTTGTGTGTGTATGAGAGTATCTTAGCCTGCCTTGGCATGGTTATCTAAATCAGTCTGTAGTAGTCTTTTTTGTTTGTTTACTTATTTTTGTTCTTATTTATTTTCATTAGTTTTTAGTCTATTTATTATTATTTTATTTTTAAGTGTTTATTTTGTTATTGTGTTATTTTTATTTATGCATTAATTTATTATTTATTTATATGTGCATTTATTTGTGTTTATTTATTTATTTTCTTATTTTTATTTTTATTTATTTTTATTCATTTATCGTTTTATATTGTTTTGTTTTTAATTTATTTACGTCTGTTTTTATTTGTGTTTATTTGTTTAGGTTTTAATTTATTATTCTCTGTTTTTGTTTATTTTTAACTTAAATTAAAAATGAAAAAATTCATTTTTTTAAATGAGTAATTAAATCGACAGACTCAATATATTGTTTTAAAACGTGTTCATTCTTTTATTATATCAGATTAACATGACCAGATATAGCCAGCATTTTAGTATTGCTAGTTTGTCGCAGGAGACCATTATTTACATGAGCTTACTCTCATTCATTTGTTTCATCGGTAGCATATCCAGATGACCATCCAGGCCCTCCAGGACGAGCTGCGGATTCAGAGAGATCTGAACCAGCTGTTCCAGCAGGACTCCAGCGTTCGTCCTGGCGAGCCCCTGACCGCAGAGCTGACTGAGGAGAACTTCCAGCGGCTGCACGGTGAGCATGAGCGGCAGGCCAAGGAACTCTTCCTCCTGAGGAAGACTCTGGAGGAGATGGAGCTGCGAATCGACACGCAGAAACAGACACTGTGCGCCCGAGACGAGTCCATCAAGAAGCTCCTGGAGATGCTGCAGAGCAAAGGGCTGTCGGCCAAGGCCAACGAGGAGGACCACGAGCGGACACGGAGGCTGGCCGATGCCGAGATGCATATCCATCACCTGGAAAGCCTTTTGGAGCAGAGAGAGAAGGAAATGGTCTTGCTGAGGGAGGTGAGAGCACTGAGGAAACTCAGAAAACCATCATACAGCACTTATGCAACCTCTAAACAGTCAACTCTCCTTTTTGAACATAGACATGAAAATGCACTATCCAAGCTTAAATGGTTGTAATTCCTGAATGCTTTGTAATACAGTTGGTCTCTTTTTAAAGAAGACAATCAGCAGATTATTGCTGAAGTGAAAGCATTTCAAAAAATTTTTAAAGTTATAGAAGTTCACTGTAAAGAAAATGTACTGTACTAAAAACAAAAACTTTCAATAAATATATTATACAAGTTATTTATATTTATTATTTTCATATAAAAATACCTAAATAATAAATATAATAATAATTCTAAAATAAAAAAAACGAAAACTACTATAAAATCAAAGCCATATGTCAAACTAAGTTATGTTCCAAATTTGAAGTTGATATCACAAAAATTGTGGTTCCTGTGAGATTTTGTTAAGGCGCTATACCAAAAATAGCCACTGGGTGACACCCAAACGCCACTGATTTTTAAAAAAGTATTTTCCAGTCACAAATGTATAAATTTCTGTCACAGTATAACTTCTGTCTCAAAATAGTCACCAAATATGGACTCTTGAGATTCAGACCTTTCCAACAATACATGTTTTGTCAAGATTAGAATAAGTTTTGAGTATAAAATATTGTATTAACATGACACTTGACATCGCCCACTAGGGGGAGGAGCCAGCTAATAGAACGGAAAGTCCAATTTCAAAACGGTTTTCACAGGATGAATTGAGTGTCAAATAGAAAAGTGTATACAATGCCATTCACTAGCATTAGATATGTCAACTTAGCAACATTTAAACGACTTTGGTGGATTGAATAACAGAACCAAACAGCTGCTCTGGGAACGTTGCTGACAGCATCCAGAGAGGATTCACAGTCAAATGTTTTCACTTAGACTCCCAATTATGGCGATGATGAATCAATTGCTCTAGATTAGTCATTTTAAACTGTGCCGGACGAGCAAGCTTACCGAGAGAGAACGAGACAGGGAAACCTTTTACAAATTGAAGGCATTGAACATTGTTGCTATAGAAACGGGAGAGACTGAAAAGAACATTGATGAAAGGAGACACAGATGTTGCTGAGAGCAAAAACTGTTAATGTGGCGGGAGACACATTTATCACATTTAGTTAAGTAGTTTATCTCCAGTAGTGAAGCTGACTGAAGTTTATTCAAGTTCAACTGACATTCCCAGTCAGATTTGTTACATAAGTTGTTTAGTTTGTAATACTTAACCCGGAAGAGAATTAGCTTTCGAGTCAAGGGTTCCCTTGTGAATTTGATTCATAAGTAGGATAAGAGACATTCATGTTTTGTTGACAGAAATGTGATCATACTTTAGTTGTTGAATGTTGCTAATAAGTTGGACTGAGTTTTTGTGAGTTTCTGTCCTTGATGAATCAAGCAAACGTTTTAGTGCTAGTTTGCTATTTGTATCCTTTTATGTTTGTCAGATGTGATACTGTCAGGAGGCTGATATAGTGGTTATGTAGTTTTGAAAGGAGTTCTGTCTGGCAATCTCTCTCTTTATTTTTGTCAGGCTTCTTCTGAGACAGCCAACAGTCAATTGCAGGATTTTGGGGACAGTGACATCTAGTGGCCAGTTAGTAAAATGGCACAATCAACTATTTTCTCAACTGGTTGTGGGAGAAAATATGCAGGACTTTGAAAGGAATTGATAAATAGAGCTGACAGTACTGCACTCCTATTGGTAGCTCCTATATATATATATATATATATATAAGTATAATAATTTTGTGATACATAATTATCACGAAAAAGAAACCTTGACAGGGTGATGATCAGGATTTTATGTATTTATTTACATAATGTCCACGTAGCATGCTTATTACATGGCTACAAACAACCCTCTGAACTACTGCTGTTTGCGTTTGGGGTCTGTAAAATTCTTTATTGTTTTTGAAAAGCCTTTTATAGTCTCTTGCAGAAATACAGTAAGACAGTAATATTGTGAAATATTATTACAATTTCAGAATGATTTTCAAAATGAATAATCAGAATGATTTCTGACTTGGAACTAGCTGTGCATTTAACGTTTTTTTTTTCTGCCTAATATTTTGTGGAAACTGTAATACTTTTTTTCAGAATTCTTTGATAGATAGAAAATTCAAAATAACCGCATGTATTTAAAATAATATTTTGTGACATCTTAAATGACTGTACTGTCAGTTTTGATCAATTTAATGCATCCTTGTAATATATAGTAGTAGATAAGGTATTAATAATATTGTAAGTAATATGCTGTGGTCTCAGCGAGTTTAGTGCCACTAAATGCAGTAATGCATGATTAAAGTGTTACAGGTGAAGTCTGGGCTAAAATAATAAATTGGACGGAGATCAGAAGAGAATTTTAGGTTATTTATTGGGGCCTCCAGTTGAACTTCAGAGAACAAGGGGAAATAAACTAATAGCCCTTCATCTAGTGATTTAAAATTCTTCCTTTGCCAACGACTTACTGGAACTATTAGTAAAAATGTCATGGAAAATGGGAGTTTTCCCCTCTTTTATTCTTTTAAAAGCATTTGGTGCATTAAATAGACATACTGTAACATTTACACTACAGCCTTCCCTCCCAAAACCACCCAGATATTTCAGCGCCTCTTCTATATTCGGCAACAGTGTTCATTTACATATACATATGGGGAAGTCGTGGCCTAATGGTTAGAGAGTCGGACTCATAACCCAAAAGGTTGTGGGTTCGAGTCTCGTACCGGCAGGGATTGTAGGTGGGGGGAGTGAATGTACAGCGCTCTCTCCCACCTTCAATACCACGACAAGGTGCCCTTGAGCAAGGCACCGAATCCCCAACTGCTCCCCGGGCGCCGCAGCATAAATGGCTGCCCACTGCTCCGGGTGTGTGTTCACGGTTTGTGTGTGTTCACTGCTGTGTGTGTGCACTTTGGATGGGTAAATGCAGAGCACTAATTCCGAGTATGGGTCACCATACTTGGCCACATGTCACTTCACTTCACACTTCACAACTCTTAAAGGTGCAGTGGGAAAAACAGCCGGTGATTGATCACATTTTGACTAGGGCTGCACGATAAATCGCATGCAATATTTAATGCGCATCTTGTCAGAAAGCCGGTTCTGTAATCAGCGGTAAATCTCTATCACGTGCGTGCTTTCACATTGAGCAGCATTAACTACACAGAGCCGTTGTTCACTGACGACCTGCGCAAAAAATCGCGCGAATATGAACGTGGTTTTGCGCAGCTCGTCAGATTTACCGCTGATTACAGAACCGGCTTTACTGATAAGATGCGCGTTAAATATCGCATGCGATTTATCGTGCAGCCCTAATTTTGACTAATATTATAAGTGAACATAACATGTTTTTTTTTGTTTGTTTTTTTTCAGCTGTGTTCTAATGTCCTAGGAACAGATAGTGCTGTTGTAGCTCTTTTAGATGTGAATATTATTCAACAGCATCTTTCAACAGTTACATTCCCTGAAGCACTGCTCCGCTTTCCATATGCTTCCCATGACTCCACACGTGTAGATGCATGGCTGTTTTTCCATGCCTGTCTGGGTTTGGTGTTCAGACTTTGTGTTTGAATGATGATTTTGAGGTCTTTAATTGCCCAGAGGAGGCAGGCTGGCCGCATCTCTTTGTGTTTGGTGGACGTTGCATTCACTCTATTTGTCAGTTGCTCGGTACATTATCTTTTTCATAAGGGACTCAGTCATGCATAAACACTCAAACCAGCCGACTGAAAGTGTCTCTTCTGCCTCAGATGCAGTGATATCAGTGCGCTGAATTTACAATTTGGCTGTGTAAATCAGAAGTCTGGGTTATTTTATTATCAGTGTTTGGGGTGCACACAATGTGGGGTGGTATGGATCCTCATCAGCTGATGGCTGCCGGTAGAGGAAGCCGTTATTATCCTGTGGTTTCACCTCACGATCCTCGTCTCATGTTTTCTCCTCAGGATCTCCACCGACGATTTGAGGGAGCTCCAGAATCTGCCAAAACCAAGGCCCTGCAGACTGTCATTGAGATGAAGGCAAGTGTGTGTATGTTTGTGTGTGTGTTTGGTGTAAGTAAATCCCAAACTTTAGTGTTTTTTTCCCAAGCAGGTCTGATTGCTTAAAAAAAATAATGTTACCTAAACTACTCTCATATTCCCGAAACTGTCATATTGAGTCAGTTTTGTATTTGTACATTACTGCTCAAAAGCTTAGTTAGTTGTTTTTTTTTTGAAAGGAATGAATACTTTTATTCATCAAGGAAAAATTGAATTGATCAAAAGTGACAGTGAAGGCATGTATAATATTACAAAATAATTCTGTTTCAAATAAATGCTGTTCTTTTGAACGTTCTATTCATTAAAGAATCCTGAAAAAAATGTATTATGGTTTCTACAAAAAATATTTAGTAGCGCAACTGTTCTCAATATTGCTAATAATAAAAAATGTTTCTTGAGCAGCAAATCAGCATATTAGAATGATTTCTTAAGGATCATGTGACACGGAAGACAGCTTTTCCAATACAGGAATAAATTGCATTTTTATATTAAAATAGAAAACAATTATTTTAAGTTGTAATAATATTTCACAATACTACAGTTTTACTGCCTTGGTGAGTGCAAGTCTTCTTTCTAAAACATCTCAAATATCTTACAGACTTAACTTTTGAACAGCAGTGTATTTGTTCTTAGTAGGTTTTCTTTATACGTAGGATCCACAGTATATCTGAACCATATCATTTATCAACATTATATTAATTTACTGGTATGTGCCAATATTGATAAATTACTAATGCAAGCTCATTTCCACTGTTTTTACATTTTAATTAACATTTGCTTATATAAATTACCTAAAGCTCACTTAAAGTTTAACTTTAAAGACACTGATAATTTAATGTTCACAGTAAGGTTGTTCTATGGCATCACTGTGAATACCCCCTTTTGGAACCTTGATTTTTAAGAGTGTCACATTATTAAAGTAGTTATTATAGTCATGTTTCAAGCCTAAAGTGAAAAACACCTCTGTATGATAAACTATCCGCTTGATAAGATATTAAAAGTTTTGCACCTTCATGTCCTCCATTCCTCTGCTTTGTCCGTCTCCTCGTCAAACATCTCTGTGATCTCTGCAGGATTCTAAGATCAGTTCTCTGGAGCGCAGTCTGAGGGACCTGGAGGACGAGATACAGATGCTCAAGTCAAACGGGGCTCTCAGCACAGAGGACAGAGAGGAGGAGATGAAACAAATGGAGGTCTACCGCAGTCACTCCAAGTTCATGAAGAATAAGGTAGAACCTGCGGCTCATGGGAACTACAACTGTTTTGCTTTTTTAACCTGTGCAGGTCATGTGTTATTTGAACACAGATTTATTGTTTTTGACTCTTTGTTAGGGCTGAATTTTACCAGACATCATGTGGTGTTGCTAATATTTACTCTGATACTAGTGTTATGGTATGGTGTGTATCGCAGCTAGATAAAGAAGCATGACAATGCCTACATATATTATTATCATTACTAACTTTTTTGACGTTGCATTTTTAATTGTTTTTTAATTTTGCTTTTATAGTCTTTATTTTTTTATTTTTAAATATTCTATTCTATATGTATATTTAAGTATATATTTTATAGTTTTTTATTTTATTTTCTATATTAAGATATTGTTTTTCTTTAGTAAACTTTCCATTTAGTTTTTAAAAATGTCCCATTTTTAATGACATTTAATTGCAGCTGAATGGCTAAATCAAAACCGCATGGCCTGTGTGGTGAATGCTGATTGGTTTGGTTGCTGATAACATCACGTGAATGTGGGTGATGTTTGGATGGCCACAGGGTGTGCATGCGAGTTGGTGATCGGTGGTTGGTGGTTGTTGCAGTAACATCGCCCTCTCCTAACAGGTAGAGCAACTGAAGGACGAACTGGCACAGAGCGAAGCTCAGGGCGAGGAGCTGAAAAAGCAGGCGGCTGAGCTGCAGCAAGAAATCTCTGCCGTAAGAAACCCAGAGAACCGGCTTAGAATACGCACAGCTCTGCTTCCCTCACCAGAGAGGGCATCTCGCCCACTCAGACCCCAAATAGAGATTCACGCTAAGCCCACTGACAGACACTTTTGCTCAAGCCGTTTTTTTTCTGCAAGAGATTCAATGTATAAATGTCTGATTTACAGAAGCCTTGAAGGGCAAGGCAAATTTATTATTTTATATATCTTTTTTTAAGAATATATTTAATATATTTTTTAAATATATTTTTAATAAATTATTTATGCCTTCTGCTCGGAGTAAAAAAACAAAACAAAACCAATTATTTTACCATATTCTATAAATATAAATATTTTTTTTCTTTTATATATAAAAAATATATATTCATATTAGTTACTGGCAGTGTTATTTTGGTAAATAGTATTTATTAATGTTTTGAATGAGCTTTTATTTTTATATTTTCAGTTTTCATTTTAATTTTAGTTTTAGGTAAATTGTGTTGTGCTATCATTTATTTTTTCATATTTTGTATAGTTTGTTTATATGTATATTTTAAACTAATTTCAGTAAGTTTCTAAGGCAACATTTCAACAAGTTGAAGTTTCTCATATAATAATATCATTTATATATATGTATTCTTTCAGATTTATTTCAATGACTGAAAACCGATAATAACAACAATGGCTGTTTGTATCAGTCATATTTTCTATATCGCTGCATTCTCTCAATATTCTGATTAGTGGTCAGTCAGTATCGTTTTTTTCATACTAACTGACCACCTCAGTCTTTTTTTCCATATCAATATCAGCTTAAACAGAACTTAAAGAGAAAGTCATGGAAAATGTACTCTTGGACACAGACAAAGAGTCGCAATACTTGATGGGAGGGAACAGTGGAAAAGGTCCCGGGGTGGTGAAGGGAACTGATAAAAAATATTAACTTTTGAGTCTCGACTGTTGTCACAATAGTCGGATCGGTGGGCGGCAGCATTCAGGCCGACCGGGTGAAATCTCAGGGTTTCTCTGATCAGGAAAGCAGAGCCCAATGCTGTGCCGAAAGGTCGGATGCCACACTAGACTCGCACGGAGCTTTTCACCTGTCTCGCTTTCTTTTCCTCTCTCTTTTGTTTGTAGTGCTGATTGGAGTAGAGCACTAATGTCCATGAGGCTTGACTCTTTCTCTCTCTATCACTCTGAATTGTCTCTCTTGCCATCTCCTGTGCCTGCGCACACTTGTTTTCACTAGGGTGACTGTCAGCCAGTAGAGTTACAGCTTTAGGCCATGCTAACCTGCTATAGCTGCCCCAGTGCATGCTGGGAATGTTAAGATGATGAACACTTGTTGTCTGTATTTTTAGTGTCTTAACACTTTGTTTACTGTCTGTTAATGGAAAATGGATTTCAATTTGTACTTAATTTGAATGCTTGTTTATCTTTCAAGAATGAATGGTTTTTTTTGTGTGTGAAAAGACTGAGAATTATGGAGTGCTATGTGTCCATCTGTTTTTGAGCTCAATACATCGTTTTTCTATTTACAGGAATTGCTGTATGCTAAAATAACCTGGTAATGTTCTGTGTTTTTGCAGTGTCTAATTCAACGGATTTGCAAGTTTAATTTGTTTAATATGTGTTTAGATTACCTTAGATCAGGGTAGATCAAATCCAAGGTTCTGTTTCATTCCTCCTGACCACCAGAGGCGGTGCTTAAGCACTAGTGGATTATCACAGAGCCCGCTCGATAGGTTGAGATAATATACCAAAAAAGTCACGTGGTGTCGTAGGCTGAGCCTCGAGTGTAATAGACTCACTAGCTCAGTCGGTGCAATCCGACTGCCAGTTGTCAAGTCTATACATTGTTTTTCTCTGTTATTGCGGTGATCATGGCTCACGGTTCTATTCCTACTGGATTCCCATTAACATGTAAGCTGTGCCCTAATACTGTTCTATCTGACGATAGCCATGATGTTTGTCCGTCCTGCTTTGGAATTAAGCTATAGTTTGTTTATATGTATATTTTAAACTAATTTCAGTAAGTTTCTAAGGCAACATTTCAACAAGTTGAAGTTTCTCATATAATAATATTATTTATATATATGTATTCTTTCAGATTTATTTCAATGACTGAAAACCGATAATAACAACAATGGCTGTTTGTATCAGTCATATTTTCTATATCGCTGCATTCTCTCAATATTCTGATTAGTGGTCAGTCAGTATCGTTTTTTTCATACTAACTGACCACCTCAGTCTTTTTTTCCATATCAATATCAGCTTAAACAGAACTTAAAGAGAAAGTCATGGAAAATGTACTCTTGGACACAGACAAAGAGTCGCAATACTTGATGGGAGGGAACAGTGGAAAAGGTCCCGGGGTGGTGAAGGGAACTGATAAAAAATATTAACTTTTGAGTCTCGACTGTTGTCACAATAGTCGGATCGGTGGGCGGCAGCATTCAGGCCGACCGGGTGAAATCTCAGGGTTTCTCTGATCAGGAAAGCAGAGCCCAATGCTGTGCCGAAAGGTCGGATGCCACACTAGACTCGCACGGAGCTTTTCACCTGTCTCGCTTTCTTTTCCTCTCTCTTTTGTTTGTAGTGCTGATTGGAGTAGAGCACTAATGTCCATGAGGCTTGACTCTTTCTCTCTCTATCACTCTGAATTGTCTCTCTTGCCATCTCCTGTGCCTGCGCACACTTGTTTTCACTAGGGTGACTGTCAGCCAGTAGAGTTACAGCTTTAGGCCATGCTAACCTGCTATAGCTGCCCCAGTGCATGCTGGGAATGTTAAGATGATGAACACTTGTTGTCTGTATTTTTAGTGTCTTAACACTTTGTTTACTGTCTGTTAATGGAAAATGGATTTCAATTTGTACTTAATTTGAATGCTTGTTTATCTTTCAAGAATGAATGTTTTTTTTTTGTGTGTGAAAAGACTGAGAATTATGGAGTGCTATGTGTCCATCTGTTTTTGAGCTCAATACATCGTTTTTCTATTTACAGGAATTGCTGTATGCTAAAATAACCTGGTAATGCTCTGTGTTTTTGCAGTGTCTAATTCAACGGATTTGCAAGTTTAATTTGTTTAATATGTGTTTAGATTACCTTAGATCAGGGTAGATCAAATCCAAGGTTCTGTTTCATTCCTCCTGACCACCAGAGGCGGTGCTTAAGCACTAGTGGATTATCACAGAGCCCGCTCGATAGGTTGAGATAATATACCAAAAAAGTCACGTGGTGTCGTAGGCTGAGCCTCGAGTGTAATAGACTCACTAGCTCAGTCGGTGCAATCCGACTGCCAGTTGTCAAGTCTATACATTGTTTTTCTCTGTTATTGCGGTGATCATGGCTCACGGTTCTATTACTACTGGATTCCCATTAACATGTAAGCTGTGCCCTAATACTGTTCTATCTGACGATAGCCATGATGTTTGTCCGTCCTGCTTTGGAATTAAGCATATGAGAGAGGCTCTCATGGACCAGTGTTTGCACTGTAGCCTTTTACCTATGTCTGAGAGATGGCAAATGGGACCCCAAGTCTGCAGTGAGACTTGGGGTCCCAACCTACCACATGGAATCAGAAACGCGGTGCATCTATGGCTGCCCCTTCTGAGAAGGCAACGTCACAGAACAAGCAGATAGATGAAGCTTCTCTTTCTAAGACAGTTGCTGAGATATCAGAGATAAAATGCCGCCTTCAGATATATCTTCAGTTTTTTCAGCTGCGGGGGGTTCTAGTGGGTATTCGATTCACTCAGGACTAACTCCATCCTCCGCGGATGATACCTTAACTGTGCTCCAGGTGGCAGTTGCTTGCTTAGGGCTGGATAACTCACCAGTACAGCCAGCCCAGTCCAACATCTTTTTTAGACAGTTTCGGGCTGGATTTGCTATGCCACCATGCAAGGATTTCATTGCAGAATTTTCGAACTCCCTCATAGGGTCTAGTGCACCTTAACCGTGGTCAAAGACTGCATGTACACAGGCATCTATAGAATATGCTGATACCATTTACAAGCATTGATTTGATAGATGTTTACTTTCATGTTCCGATTGCTCCTCACCATATGAAATTTCTTCGATTCAGTTTCAGAAACCAGGCATACCAATTCAAGGTCCTACTGTTCGGCCTGCCGTCTCTGGCCCCTCGTGTCTTCACAAGGTGCATGAATGCACCTTTACATCCGCTGTTGTTTAGACAAAACAACAAGCTGGCCGAGACACCAGACTGAGCATGTGCAGAAACTAGGTCTTCATTGGCTGATTATCTTGCGTAGTTGTATCCAGGCATTGACACCGTGTAATCGTTGGGAGTTTCTGATGTCAGGTGTTCCCCTAGGGGTCATTCCTTCTCATTGAGAGGTGGTCACAACCGATGATTTCCTCCTCGGGTGGGGGGAATCATGGAATCACAGGGGTGTTTCTGGAAATTGGTCTCCAGCTCTGTCCAGGGACCACATCAATCTCCTAGAATTGCGTTCAGTTTTCATAGCCCTGCAGCATTTTTTGCCAGTTCTGGCAGGCCGTCATGCTCTCATTTGGTCCGACAACACCTTGACAGTGTTTCACCTGAGCCATCAAGGTGGAACAAAGTCCCTCAAGTCTCTGCATCTCACAGACAAGATACTCACTTGGTCTCTTCCATCGTTGAGGGCAGGTCACCTCCCGGGATCGAGCAGTCAGGTAGCAGATGCTCTGTCAAGGGATCTTCTGCACCCAGGGGAATGGAGGCTTCACCAGGATGTGGTGCAGAAGATATGGCAGCAGTTCGGCGAAGCAGAAGTGGATCTTTTTACAAAAGAAGCAGACACTCACTGTCGCTTGTGGTTTGCGAGAACAGAGACATCCAGCCCATTGGGGCAGGATGCTCTGTCTCACGAGTGGCCAAACTGTCTGCTTTATGCGTTCCCTCCTCTTCCACTTCTGTGGGACACATTACACAGAATATGTGCACAGAGTGTTATTTGTAGCACCTTGATGGCCAGCCAGGCCTTGGTTTCCCATGCTTCTGTCGCTATTGGTGGGCTAGTCTCGCATAGCCAGACCTTCAGACTGTCGGCTGAAGGTCTGGAATCCATGGCAGCTTTCATTGGCCAAGGCCCGCCCATGAGGCCGTTTGACCAACATGTCAAACAACCAATCACAGTTCGTTTCATTTCAGCGTCACGTTTCGGGACGTTTCGGTGTCTCCACAATAACAGGACGTATGTTAAAGATTCTATGCCGCAAACTTTAAATATTTCACATACTTTTGAATATCCAGAGTTTAGTTGATCCTGATAAGCACTCGTCGTCACAGTTGTAAACACGACGGCTTTCTTCTTTCGTGAGGGGGTTTGGCGCCGCGGCATCTTTGTTTCCAGGCGGAACGTTTCGAACGACTTCGAAACTCCTGAAGTGTTTCCAATTTTGTGTGCCATATGCATCAGACGTTCAGCCAACGGTCCGTGGGCGTGACGGCTGAGACTATTGGTGGGCAGGCCATGGCAGCTTCTGCTTTGGAAGGACCTGTTGTCACAGATAGATGGCGCTGTTTGGCATCTGCATCCAGCCAGTCTGCAGCTATGGGTTTGGCCTCTGGGGCCGACTGTCTCTTAGCAGATTGTGAGCCCGCTGTCATTCATACCATATCTAGTGCTAGAGCTGCACCCACATGTCTATATGCTGTGACGTTCCTTGAGTTCTTAGTTTTTTGCAGCATCTTTGAAGATAGATATATATATTTTATATATTATTGCGACATATCAAGCTGGCACTGTGATAATCCACTAGTGCTTAACCACCGCGGTCATCTGGAATTCACAGAACCACAGTTACATTCGTAACTAGCGTTTTGTTCCCACGTCAGACCTATGACTACAGATTTCATTCTGTTTTATGCTTTTAAAGCAAAACATTGCTGCATTTGTATTCTGCAAAGGTGTTTTCGGAGGAAGTTGTGTGTGAGATTTGACCAGAGCTTGGAGGTCTGGTTTGAAGGGGAGTTTCTGGAGAGTTTTCCACATACTTAGAGCAAATGTTTGTCTTGCACAGATTGACCAGGTGAAGCAGGATCTCTCCAGGAAGGACACTGAGCTCTTGGGCCTGCAGACTAAACTGGAGACGCTCACCAATCAGTTTTCTGACAGCAAACAGCACATTGATGTACTCAAAGAGTCTCTGTTTGCCAAGGAACAGCGTGCTGCCATCTTGCAGACTGAGGTAAGAGTTACGTTATGGCAATGAATTGGCATTGTATAGTTGGATAAAGATAAAAACAATTCTCATATTTGTGCATTATATATCTTTTAAGTTCTCATTAGATCCCTTTTCTACCAAATCAGCTTTCAAGAAAGATATTTAGTAGGAGAATTATGTCATAACTGGATAAATTTTTCCCCTATCCATTCTGAGTAATACTCTTTGCCATTGACACAATTCTGACATACAGTGTAATCTCATTTTGTTGCCTTGCAGCCTGAAATGAAGATGGACACAGTTTTTGGTTTATCCTGCTGTATTTACTCAGTGCAACTTATAACATCCAAGTGAAAGATAAAAATAATAAATAAATAAATAAAACCCAATCACTGAGTTGGAAAAAAGGTCACCCCCCACTCTTAAAAATGACTTGTAAACTCAATCAGGTGTAGCTAATGTCACCTTCTCAATGGCACACAAAGCCCTTTGACTTTTAACTGTGATCAGCTGTGCTCATTTTGATTAGCTCAGCATGAAAAGAGCTTTTACTGGAGCATTTCAGTCCTTGATAGTGCAACTGAAGCAAACAATCAACTATGGGTGGCAAGGGACAGTCAAAAGATCTCCGGGATAAAGATGTGGACAGGCACATGTAAGGAGATGGATAAAAAAAAATTCAAAGACTTTATCAATGCCTAGGAGCACAGTGAAGTCTATTATTAAGAAGTGGAAGGTATTTGGTACAACACAGACCCTCCCTGGATCAGGACGTCGCTCCAAACTGGATGAAAGAGCCAGGAGGAAACCGCTCAGAGAGGCGACCAAGAGGCCTACAGCAACTCTGAAGCAGTTGCAGGAATTTATGACAAAGAGTGGTCATTGTGTGCATGTGACAATATCACAAATTCTCCAAGAATGTGGCTTGTATGGGAGGGTTGCAAAAAAAAAAGAAAGTCACTCCTCAAGAAAGGCCATATGCAGTCATGACTGAGCTTTGCCAAAACACACCTTGAAGATTCTGAGGGAGATGAGACTAAAATTTAATTATTTGGCCTCAACACCAAACGATATGTCTGGCGGAAATCCAATAAAGCTCATCATCCAAATAACAGCATTCCTCCAGTAAAGCATGGAGGAGGTAATATCCTGTTATGGGGGTGTTTCTCTGCAGCAGGGACTGGAGCACTTGTCAGGATAGAAGGAAAAATGGATGGGGCAAAATACCATCAAATTCTTGAGGAAAATCTGC